GTGTTTAAGAAGCAGAAAATAGGTACTTTTGCAAAGTCAAGGAGGATGTCCAAGATAGAGAAGTTGGAACTTGTTCATTTAGATATATATGGGTCAACATCAGTCTCATCATTGGGAACTATGTCACTTTCATTGATTATTCCACTAGAAAGGAAAAATCAGAAGTATTTAATACCTTTTAAAAGTGGAAAGTCATTGTTGAGAATAAGACAAGGATAAAAAGTAAATGTTTAAAGTCTGATAATAGTGGTGAAAGGCTTTAAGCAGAAAAGAGATATTAATTATAATGAGAATTTTTGTCTTATAGTTAAAATGACTACCATTAGACTTGAGTTGAATATTATGGTTGTAGAGGATTTACATCTAGAGCAATTAGATGTTAAGACAACATTCTTACATGGTGACCTTGATGAGGACATCTACATGGTACAATCAGAGGGTTTCCAAGTTGTAGAGAAAGAGAACTTGGTTTCTAAGTTGACCAAGAGTTTGTATGGGTTGAAGCAAACACCTAGACAGTGGTACTTAAAGTTTGATAGTTTTATAAGTAGGATAGGGTACAAGAAATGTGCCGTGGATCAATGCTACTATATGAAAATTTTTTGTGCATCCTATATCATAGTACTATTGTATATTAATGACATGTTATTGCATGTTTTAACATGGATGAAATTAATATATTGAAGGCACAATTGTCTGAAGAGTTTGAGATGAAGGATTTGGATATTGCAAAGCAAATTTTGGGCATGAATATCAACAGGAACAAATTTGAAGATTCCCTAATATTATTTTAAGAGAAGTATATTGGGAAAGTGTTAGAGAAATTTAATATGCAAGATGTCAAAATTGTAAGTACACCTTTGGAAGTTCACTTTAATCTCACTCAAGAGGAATCACCTAAGACAGATGAAGACAAAGTAGCAATGACTAAAGTTCCTTATGTATATGCAGTAAGTAGTTTAATGTATGCAATGGTATGCACTAAACCAGGCATTGCTCATGCAGTGAAAGTTGTTAGTAGATTCATATCTAATCCAGGAAGGAAGCATTGGGAAGTTGTCAAATGGTTTTTACATTACTTGAAAGTACTTCTAAAACTGTATTATGTTTTAGAAGTAATGATGTTATTTTGAAAGGATATTTCGATGCAGACTTGGGAGGTTGTTTAGACACAAGGAAAAGTACTACAAGATTTATCTTGACAATAAGTGACACAAAGGGGAAGATTCTAGAGCTGGAAAATGTAAAGTTGGTTTCTGTGAACCATGTGTATTTGAGAAGTAGAAAAGAGTTACTTTTTCAAAGTCAAGGAGGATTCCAAGGTAGAGAAGTTGGAACTTGTTCATTCAGATATATATGGGCCAACATTAGTCTCATCATTGGAGCATCACGATACTATGTCACTTTCATTGATGATTCCATTGGAAAGGAAAAATCAGAATTATTTAATATCTTTAAGAAGTGAAAAGCCATTGTTGAGAATGAGACAAAGATAAAAATTAAATGTTTAAAGCCTGATAATAGTGGTGAAAGGCTTTCAGCAGAAAAGAGGTATTAATTATAATGATATTTTTTTCTCCTATAGTTAAAATGACTACCATTAGACTTGCGTTGAGTATTTGTTGTGCAAAGGATTTACATTTAGAGCAATTAAATGTTAAGACAACATTCTTACATGTGACCTTGATGAGGACATTTACATGGTGCAATCATAGGGTTTTCAAGTTATAGAGAAAGAGAACTTCGTTTGTAAGTTGACCAAGAGTTTGTATGAGTTAAAGCAAACACCTAGACAGTGGTACTTAAAGTCTGATAGTTTTATGAGTAGGATGGGGTAAAAGAAGTGTGTCATGGATCAATATTATTATATGACAAATTTTGGTGCATCTAGTACTATTGTATGTTGATGAAATGTTAGTTGCATGTTCTCTAACATGGATGAAATTAATAGATTGAAGACATAGTTGTCTGAAGAGTTTGAGATGAAGGATTTGGGTATTGCAAAGCAAATTTTGGGCATGAATATCAACAGGAACAAATTTGAAGATTTCCTAATATTATTTCAAGAGAAGTATATTGGAAAAGTGTTTTAGAAAAATTTAATATGCAAGATGCCAAAATTGTAAGTACACCTTTGGGAGTTCACTTTAATCTCACTCAAGAGGAGTCACCTAAGACAGATGAAGACAATGTAACAATGACTAAAGTTCCTTATGTATCTGTAGTAAGTAGTTTAATGTATGCAATGATATGCACTAAACCAGACATTGTTCATGCAGTGAGAGTTGTTAGTAGATTCATGTATAATCTAGGAAGGAAACATTGGGAAGTTGTCAAGTGGTTGTTACACTACTTGAAAGATACTTCTAAAACTGTATTATGTTTTAGAAGAAATGATATTATTTTGAAAGGATATTCCGATGCAAATTTGGGAGGTTGTTTAAACACAAGGAAGAGTACTATAAGATTTATCTTCACAATAGGTGACACAATAGTTAGTTGAATGTCTCGACTTCAAAAAAGTGTTGCACTTTCAACCACAGAAGCATAGTACATGACTATTTCGGAAGCCAGTAAGGAAATGATTTAGTTGAAAAATTTTCTTAAGTAGCTAAGAAAGATGCAGTGTGACAATATCCTTTATAGAAATGGTCAGTGAGTCATTCATTTGCAAAGAATCCTATTTTTCATACAAGAACAAAGCACATCCAGTTGAGGTATCACTTCATTAGAGAACTAATAAGTGGTGATACTTTGTTTTTGGAGAAGATCCTTGAGTTAGAGAATCCTATAAATGTGTTGACCAAGGTGGTTACTACTGAGAAGTTGAAGTTTTGCACAACTTCAATTGACCTTCATGATTAATTGTTAAGAAGACATTGCACTAGTTTGAGGTTGTTATAACTTTGATATTGATTAGATTTAATTTGGAGTGTGCTTGATGTTATCAGTCTCCAAGTGGAAGATTGTTAAGTATGTGGAGTCTGAAGGGCTATTGAGTCTGACCCATTTACTTAGGATCCATATTATCGTATTCTACATCATCTTCTTCATCAAAATCATGAATAATATCTTGTATAATTGGTTCTTGTTTAGAAGAAATTGAATTACAACCAACATAAAATCTATCTATTTTGATAAATTATATGAAAACATTAAGTGTTCTTTTAATGTTGGATGTGCGTGGCAAACTATACCTAGAGAAGTGAATAAGTGTGGAAAGGTGAGGAGAATAAGTGTATCATTTTATGGTTATATAGATCATCTTCAAAATCTAGCTATGGAAAGCCATCTCGGAAGACATGTCCTTTATACATTCAATATGATGCATTCTAGATTAAATATTGTTGTCGCTTCTTCCAAGACATCACCTTCAACATATCATCAAGTTGAATCTATGAATTCTTATTAGTCAATAGTACCTATATATGAGAATCAAACTCAAGAAGAGGAACATGTAATAGTGATACAAAATCACAATAAACATACGTAATTTAAACAAAATAAAAGAAGACTTATTTGTAAAGTAAATTCCCAACATTAGATTATTTTTTATTAACTTTGTATTATATTTTTTTACATCATATAATTATTTCTATGGATATTAATATATTTCATTTTATTAATTACTTTTATATTTATAATTTTTTAATTAAAATTTGATAAAAATAAAAATATAATATTATAATTAAATTAAAATATAAACATTAAAAAACATAAATAAAAATTTAAAAATTAAAAATCGTCAGCAACTTAATTTTTTTTAAATCATACTAAATAATACAACTTTAAAATTAAAAAAAATTAACATAAATAATACAGGTTGACGTTACTTTTTATACGAATTCATTTCTCTGGGCAGGATTTACCCACTTCGGCCCAATATAATAATATTCTAGATAAATTACACTAAATTGGTAAAAAGAAAAAAAAATCCAAAGTTTTTTCAATCTTCATTTATCATTTCAAACAAATACAGTCTATATCTACTCATATGTCTGCTCAGCAGTGCATCACAATTCAGACAAACAATGTCTCTGTCATCCAGTTGTAAAGCTGTTTTTGGTTTCAATCAAAATATAAAAAATGTTTTAGTCTGTATGCAAAAATTAATAAGAAACGAGTTTAATAATTTTATACTGTTAATGTAAAATATTAATTTAAATAAAAATCATTTAATAATGTCAATATTCAAAAGCATAAAGATTAATAAAATATAAATTATAAAAAAGTTAAAATTATTGATGATTCACATGTCTAGTGTGATGGCAGAGCAACACATGGCATTGCAGACAACACGTTTCAGTTTGCATGTCAATTGAGTAATAATATATTGACCTCTGGTTCCAAAATTATATTTCTTAAATAATTTTCTTAAATTTATTATTTTATTAATAAATTAAATTATTAATTGATTGTAGGAATAAAAGATGTTCTCTACCAATTTGTTTTCAATACTTTTACGACAACGCTCTTAATCATATTATTTGTCCGACAACAGTCATAATTATTGACAGAAGAGTAATAGTATCTATCCATTTTTTTCAAACTTTTGTCCTGTAATTTTATTTTAAATTATAATAATATATATAATTATGAATTATTACTACTATTATTATTATTAAATAAATTATCGACGTCAAATAAATTCAGTAATACTATATATATATATATATATATATATATATATATATATATAGATGTATTAAAAATCATAGATGAATGAATGCTTATATTTTGGCAGGAGAAAAATATTTATTCAATTATTTATTTTTAAAATTTTATATTATTATTTATCTATTTTATTTTATTTTATTCTCTTTATCAATAAAAAAATATTTTAAGGTTATCCTTTCCTAGGATAAATAAAGAATATAAGCCTCTTATTAGAAGATATTAGTGAACAATTGTCATTCATTTGCTTATGTTTTCTCTTGCAGGTGAATAATTTATATATAGAGAGACACGGGCATTGTTAAGCATCGTCACCACATTCCTAAATGGCTTACGGTATAGCACAATGCGTGATGGGAAGGGATGTATTCAGCCATCCCAATCACACACAAATTCTACGTAAATCACGACATACAATAACTCTTGCCAATTCCGATGCCAAATTTCTCAACAAATCTTTGCAACTTGCTTGTGCCGCCACTAAACACCATTTCCAGTTAACTCACAATCAAAACAGACGTTCAGCAAATTACCACCCAAATCATTGGACCCATGAATTTGTCCAGTCTCTGGGAAATCATCTACCGGTGACTCTACATTTAATTAACTTTCTTTTACCCTTTCTTCTGCTCTACCTTTCCTCCATATTTTTAGCTTCAGTTAGTGTAGACCTTGTGTCATGACAGTGTAAAACTTAGCAAACTAACTTTTTTTCTCACAAAACACAGGTTAAAACAGTGCAAGAGAGAACAGCAACGCTTGAGGAGAATGTAAGGCATATGATTAATAGAAAAGACATGGAGCCACGAAGCTTGCTGGAATTAATTGATGACATCCAGCGGTTGGGGCTGCACTACAAGTTCGAAGACGACATAAACAATGCCCTTCACAGGATTGTTTCAACACAAAACTTGAAAGACGAATCACAGAAAAAAAGTCTGCATGAAACTGCCCTCCTTTTCCGCCTTCTTAGACAACATGGATTTGATGTCTCACAAGGTCTCATTTCAACTTTAGGCCAATGAATACCTTTTATTTTCATACCTTGCCTTTGGTTATTACTCATACTTAAAAGAGCTTTCATTTATGTTATTATGTGAGATGCAGATGTTTTTGACAGTTTCAAAGATGAAGAGGGGAAATTTAAGGCTGAAATTAGCAATGATGTTGAAGGAATGTTAAGTCTATACGAGGCATCCTACTTGAGCTTTGAAGGAGAAAGTGTGTGGGAGGGAAATGCATTTTCAAGAACATGTCTGATGAACTTAATAAAAGAGGGGATAGATAAGGAAGTGGGTGAAGAAGTTAGGCATGTGTTGGAGGGGCTTCCCTATCACCAAAGCTTTCAGAGACTGGAGGCACGATGGTATATTGACATATACAATAAAAAGGAAGGACATGATCGCTATTTGTTAGAGCTTGCAAAGCTGGATTTCAACATGGTTCAATTATCATGTCAGAAAGAGCTACAGCAATTGTCCAGGTAAACAACAACTTAACAGCTAAAAATATCAAAATATGGAGAAGAAATATTTTTTCCTAACTTACAACAATTTGTGTGAAATAATGATAAAAGTAATCACAAAAAGATAACATCTTTCTTTTTAAAGTAGAAAAATATCTTCAGTACAAAAATTACAACCTCATTGACACAGACTAATCAATGCAGCTCCACTAAAATCAATGAAGTTCCACTAAAAAGTACAACCTCTTCAGTATTATCTTCTATGCACTCTTCTAAAATTATATTCATTTCTTTTATAATGTGTTATTATCTAGGTGGTGGATGGACCTTGGCCTCACAACCAAATTGAATTTTGCTCGAGATAGATTTGTGGAATCTTTCTATTGGTCGGTGGGAATGGAACCTGAACTTATATTTGCTAATTATCGTGAAGAACTCACGAAAGTGGGAAAATTGATCACAATCGTAGATGATATATATGATGTCTACGGTACTCTGGATGAGTTGGAGCTCTTCACAAATGTTGTCGAAAGGTTTGTCATTCTAATATTAAAAAAAAACGTTAATTAATCTTTTCTTTAAGAATTAATAATTCTATTTCCTTACTCCAACTTGTCATAAGGTTTTAAAGAGTATGATAACAAGTCACGTGCTTCGGATAAATGATTAAAATTAATTTATCAAGAAAATATATATAGTATCATAAGTTGTATTTATTTGATGAACAGTGAGACTACATAATTTGAACTAATGTTAGGGTATATTAATGAAGGAATATAATAATTGCATTCCTCTAATTAGTTGCATACCTGAGTTCCAGATGGGATGTAAATGCCATGAACACTCTACCAGACTACATGATGTTGTGTTTCTTAGCTCTTTATAACACTGTTAATGGGATGGCTTATGACATCTTCAAAGAACGGGGCATAAAATGTCTTCCTTACCTCACCAAAGCTGTACGTAATATAACACAACTAATCATTCTTTCTTATATTTTAGTTACAATTCAAATTAATTTTTTCACTGGATAACTTGACAGTGGTCTGATTTGTGCAAATCATACCTGCAAGAAGCAAAATGGTATTACAATAAAGTGATTCCACCATTGAACGAGTTCCTTGACAATGGATGGATCTCATCCTCAGGTGGAGTTCTTCTTACTCATTCCTTCTTCTTAGTCACTCCAGACCACGACATCACAGAGCAATCGCTTCATTCCTTAGCTAATTACCATGACCTCTTGCGCTCTTCGATGACCATTTTAAGGCTTTGCAATGATTGGGGAACATCCTCGGTAATTTCAATTTTGTTTGCTACAACCTCATACAGTAACACAAGTATGTCAGACTCCGTGGCTAACATTGTGCGTCTCGTTTTTTGCAGGATGAGATTGAGAGGGGTGAAATTTCAAGTTCAATATTAAGTTACATGCATGAAACTGGTTTCTCGGAAGAAAAAGCCCGTCTACACTATAAAACATTGATTGAAAAAGAATGGCGTAAGTTGAATAAATACCAAGTCATGAACTCTACGTTTTCCAAATCTTTCGTAAAAGTTTGCATTAACCATGCTCGGACTGCTCATTACACATACCAAATTGGCGACGGATTTGGACGACAAGACGCTGTATCAAAGAACAGAATCCAGTGTCTGCTAATAGACCCTATTCCAGTAGCATGATGATGTTTAATAGCTCTGATGCTGAAATGCATATTAGTAATATTACATTCTAATCTATCATGTTGGTTCCGAAATTTGGCGTGTCAAAATTTAAGTATTATAAGAATAAAAGAGTTGTTTTTAGGATGATATTATTCATCATTAAATACATATAACGATAAAATTTTAATTTGTCGTTAATAGTCATTAATATGTTAATCACTAGTAACCGTATTTTTTTAAAGTAAAAAAAAATTTATCGTGATAAATATAACATCACTTATATGTAATGACTAATTGAAGTGCTCACAATATATTGGACAATAATGTTGATTTAATGATCACGGTCTATATTTCATAATATAAATAACATTATTATTAGTGTCAAAACTTTTTTGTCACAACTAATTAATTATTACTTTAATTTAAGTAATTAAAAAAATGAAAATTTAATTGTGATTATTTTTTTAAAATTTTATAATAATACACACATTATGTGAAAGTGAATATAACTTAAAATAAGTAAATATTCAAATAGTTAAATATATTAAAATATAAATAATTCATGACATTAATAATGAACATTAAAACATGACTATTTCTAATGCTTTAATTCCAAAACGTTATAGAATAATAATACCAGTAATCTCATACTTCTTAAATAAAACATTTTCTTAAACAATTTTTTCCTAGTTTTCAATGATATATTAAGCTATGGAAGAGTAAGTAACTTTTGTTTGTTTTGGATTAATAGATTAAATTTGATAACACGAATTAGAAGAAGGGAGGGATGAAGAATCTCACTCGGATAAGGAGATTGAGTGAGAAAAATAACTCACTTCATATATATATTTACACAATTATTTTTGTCATATGATTGATTTTTTAATGTAGAAAATTATTCTTTAACATGAAAAATGGATTCTAAAAAAAAACAATTCCTTTATCATTCTAAAAAAAAAACAATTTCTTTATCACTCGTTTAAAATTTTTGTATCATTCATATACTTTTTATAATATATATTTTTTAATTCAAACAATCTTATTTTCACTTTATCTTTTTTAAATTTATTTTTTTCACATTCTTAAATCCATAAATAAAAAAGAAATGTAATTTTTTTATGTGGGTACTGTTGTTTATTTATAATCTCAACAAGAATCATTAGTTCAACTTAACCTCAGTAAAGAATTTGAATGCTGTTTTTATCAAATTTTCATATATAATTATGAGAAATTGTTTTTCTTTCGTATTTTATTTTATTTTATCTGTAAAAAAATATTTTTCTTTTACTAAAGGTTCGATTTTGATGAGTAAATTTTAAGGTTCTGTAAATATAATTTCTTAAAATTTAATATAATGTTTGTAAAATGATATTTTAAATTGAATCTGTCATTTTATATATAATTGTTAGAATTACCTTTTTTAAAATGTAATTGGCCGACAATTTCTGCACCTGTTACCAGTGCTTTGACATTGAGCAGAACCCACAATGAAAAGTAGAATTTGTGATATACATCTGCTAAACTTTTTAGATTTTTATATTGTTATTATTTATTTATTTTATATTTTTCTATTAATAAAAATATTATTTTAAGGATGTGAATGTATATTATTATTCACATCAAAGATAAAGGGCAGAAGCTATTCAAACAAGAGAAGAGAAAGGTTGTTAACCCTAAATATTGTTTGTTCAGATTTTTTTTTTTTTAACTACATAGGTAACTTTTATTAAAAATAAATCATTATGAACAATAAAATTTTATCTTTGAAGATTTAACAAAATTATATATAAAATAATAAATTCAAAATCAATATGTTGTTTGGCATAGATAATCTTAAATACTATTGAAGTAATTTTAAGTTATAATAGTTATAAATATTTTATTATGAGAAAAGATAGAGACCAAAATGGTAACACTTATAGTAAGATTATAAAATAACACTTATATTCATATATTAAGATTATAAAATTTCTAATATTAAAAAATAATATACTAGTAAAAGTTAACATCTAATAATTTAAATAAAATTGATTTAATGAAAAATATGTAAAATCATGCCCAACGTGCTTATTTAAAAAGGAAAAAAAGGGCTAGTTAAGTAAAAAAAAAAAATTTCATCCACACGAATCTAATCCATGGCTGATTAGCTGTGACTTTTGGTTGCATTGCATGTCTATATGTCCAAGGTGTAGGTAAGAACCAGTGAATTGCAAAAGGATATATCCGATGGAAGCCCAAAAAAAAAGTGAAGTGTTACGTCACTGTAATTTTTATTTCAATAAGAAAAAATTAAAATAATTTATTATTTTATATTTTATATAAAAATTAAATAAATATATTTATTAAATAATTAATTACTTTGATTAATAACACACCATTATATTTTAATTTAAAATATATAATATTTAAATAAATATAATGAAAATCAAATTATTCTTTCTTTTAAATTTTTGTCAAATATGTTTTACTAAATTTATTTGAAGTTGATGGTGAATGTTTTTATCTTCAACTGTTGTTT